ACAGTTGAGCATACCAAGCCAGCCTTCACCCTAGTAACTTTGGTGGAGCAGTGAGTTTCTGTTACAGACATTTATGTAGAGAGCTGCAAACACTGCAATGTTATAGCATTAGATACATACCCATCTCCTTTTTTATGCTTCCTATATCTTGAAGTTCTCACTGAGATCATTAAGCATTCTCAAAATCAACGTTTTGAACTCTGCATCTGGTAGATTGTACTTCTCCATTTTGTTTAGTTCTTTTCCTGGAGTCTAGTTCTGTACCTTTGTTGGAGAACATGTTTCTTTGTATCTCCGTTTCGTTTGCCTCTCTATGGCTGTTTTTATGGATTAGGTTGAGCTGCTGTGTCTCCCAGTCCTGGCAGAACAGCCTTATGTAGTAGGTGTCCTGTAGGGCCCAGTGGTTCAGTCTCCCCAGTCACCAGAACCAGGTGTTCCTTGTATGGGTTGTGTGTGTCTCCTGTTGTAGTTGAGCCTTGATTCCTGTTGGTGCGTCACTGGAGGGAATTGACCCTCAGGCTGATTGGTTGAGAGGAATAGCTGAGACTATAGTGGAGGAATTGTTGCACTGGGGCTGACCCTACGGAGTGGCATTTGCATTAGCAGGCTCTCGTGACTGCCAAGTCTGCCCTTTGGGTGTGCCATTTGTTGAGGTGGTTGGGTGGTGCTCTGGTGTGGCATGAAGCTCACCACTGGGGATATTGGTTCTAGGATCTCTTGAGGAGTGGAAGCCAAGGTCACCTAGTGCCAGCACCTTACCATGGGCCACTTTATATAAGCTATACAGTGATCTGCAGGTGGTTGCCATTGTTCTGGGCTTGAGGTGCTTGGGAGAGACTAATTTGTGAACTGAGGCCTGCTGCAATTAGTGCCAGGCTTGGGGATGCTTAGCAAGAATTATGGGGCATGCCAAGGCCAGATGCTGAATATTTGGGGTTTATAAACCTTGGAGGGATCTTAGGAAAGTCCATAACATGAGCTAAGACAGGCTATTTGAATGAAAAAGTTACTGGAAGTGGCGTGAGTGTGCTGCAAGTTGGGTGGAGCAGGGTCTCAGGGAATCACCAGGACCAAGAATCCAGCGTGAACCAGGTCGATTCATCGAGAATCAGAAATGGCACCTGTTTGTGCTGCTGAGGGAGGGCTCAGCAAAGGAACAAGGGCTTCTGCCAGCACTTCTGTCTGGGAGAAAGCTGTCCCATCCAGCCTTTGCTCTGAAGCCAAACAATTCAGTCCTCTCCTTATGTCCTTGGTGCCTTTTGAGCTAATGCCCAGAGCTGGAGTTCAGAGTGAGTGAGTCTAACTAAGTCCCTGCGTGGGCCCTTTAAGAGAAACCCCTGGGTCTGCAACAGTTCTCCATCTCACTGAGCTACAATCTCTGCTGGTTTTCACCACCAGAAGTTATCTGGCGTTCTCTTCCCAACACCAGAACCCTGGGCGGGGGACCCTGGTGTGGGGCTGGGACTCCTCGCTCCTCAGGGGGGCACCCCCACAGCTGAGATATCCCTCCTGGTTTTTTTGTTTTGTTTTTGTTTTTTGGGGGACACCAGTCTGTTCTGTGTCTCTCTGCCTTTCCTACCAGTCTCACATGGCTTCTGTATATCCTTAGTTATAGGACTTCTGTTTAGCTAGATTTCAGGCAGTTCTCAGTGATGGTTAAAGCTGTAGTTTAGTTGTACTTTTGATGTGGTTGGGGGAAGAAGCGAGTTTACCTTTTCAACCTTCTTGACCCATCTTAGGCCTCTGGAATTTCTCAAATTGGTTCAAAATGCTTTCCTGAAGGATGCATCTCAAATAAACATGTATCAAATTCTTTATTTTTTTTTACCTTTTTTTTTTTTTTAAATGTGGGAAACCTTTCCATGTAAGCACAGCTAGGTAAAGAATTTTCTTATTCTTAAGTTGTGTTGCTTAGTCAATCACTGCTGACAAATAAGAGAAGTAGAAAAAGAATGGTAAATGCAGAGGCTCAGGTTTGCTATATATAGAGATTACTAGCTATTGACAAATTGTACTAATGTCTCCCCCTCACCACCACCACCTGAGTAATCTAAAGGACACACTCCCTCTTAATGCACCTTCCCAAGGGGAATGCTCTTGGGAACATGGGAAGACAAATGACTCTTCCGTTTCAAAGAAACCATGAGTCATATACATGCTTGTCTCTCCTTCAGCATTTTCACCTTTTTTGGAAACTGATAGAAGAAAATGTTGCTATGGTCAGTACTGTCTTTTCTCAGAACCCCTGCTTGATAAATCCCACTCTCCCTTAGTCATGGCCCAGGATGCACCTGTCATGCAAGTGAAAGTCTCTCTGGAAAAATGATGTAAGTAAATATAAAGTCTCCCACCTGGCAGGTTTCATTCTGCTTCCTCTGTAGAACCTGATGGTGGGTACATGGTAGAGAGGTGCTTCCTGTCTGGCTCATTCAGCCTTGTCCACAGTCACCCCAGGAGAATCAGTGTCTCCCAGCATGGCGAAGTGTGGGAGGAGCAGAGGTGTGAGAATAGCTCATAAAAATAACAAATAATTTGTTCTAAGATTTAGAAAACAGAACACTTGATTTTGTTCATTACAATTGGCATACATTATCATATGATAGCAGCCATTTCCTTATATAATTCTGAGACTTACAAAATAGAGGCATTCCTACTCTTAATTTTAAAATTTGTCATAGAAACCTTCATTGCTCTAATGATTTAGAAGAGATGAGGTAAGTATAAGGCCAATCTGAGTCGTAAGTTCTGATAGTCTAATGCAGTGGAAGTAATGTGAATAAAGCTTGGCACATTGGGAGTGATCTGTGAATGGTGTGGTGGTAGTGATGTTTGTACAGCAAGCATATGCCCTAGGATAGTGGTCGGCAAGCTCATTAGTCAACAGAGCCGAATATCAACAGTACAACAATTGAAATTTCTTTTGAGAGCCAATTTTTTTTTAACACATTTTATTGATTTTTTACAGAGAGGAAGGAAGAAGGATAGAGAGTCAGAAACATTGATGGAAGAGAAACATCGATCAGCTGCCTCCTGCACACCTCCTACTGGGGTTGTGCCCACAACCAAGGTACATGCCCTTGACTAGAATCGAACCTGGGACCTTCAAGTCTGCAGGCCGACGCTCTATCCACTGAGCCAAACTGGTTATTGGGAGAGTCAAATTTTTTAAACTTCTTCTAACGCCATTTCTTCAAGATAGACTCGCCCAGGCCATGGTATTTTGTGGAAGAGCCACACTCAAGGGGCCAAAGAGCCACATGTAGCTCAAGAGCCACAGTTTGCCAACCACTGGTCTAATATATTTTTACAACATGGTTTCATCCAGGGCTAAGTTAGGATTGGCTTTCATGGAATTAGCATATAGTCTCGGATTGGTTAGTAGAGGGATGACTGGAAATAACTGGAATTCTACTCCAAAAAGAATTTGAACACTTGCGTGGGGGAATGGGGTTGTCTTGGCAGCGGTCATTCTTCATTTCAGGTGATTTATTTCTCTTTCCAGACAGAGATTGTAAATTGCAGTTTGGGATGACATCCAGGGCGAGGACGCATTGCGGTCAATTTGTGAGAACCAATCACTCCAGACTTCACGGGGCAGCGAGGCTGTGGTTTCGTTGCAGGCAGGATTAATTCTAATGCTGGAACCACGAAGGAAAAAAAATTGATCCAAATTGGTGGTTTTGTCTGGTTTACAAGTTAAATTGAACTGATCTGAAATGAGAGCCTTACTCTGTTCAGCTCTGTGCTTGGAATCTGTTTGAAGCAATTCAGCCTGAGTGTATCCGAAGCGTAGGTGATGTCATCCCAGATATTGAGCATGTTTTTGTGGCTGCATCACATCTCAACCTCCACTCTCTTTGGTTTTGCAATTTCTCTCTTCCTAATCTCTTTCTTTTATTTCTCTTGGCCACAATGTCTCAGTCTTGGCACAATTGATACGGTGGCCAGGTGGTTGTTGTGGAGAACTGTCCTGGGCACCATCCAGGTCCTCTACACACTAGATGCAAGTAGCCAACCCTCCTCTGGTTGTGAAAACCAAAAATGTCACCGCACATTGCCAAGGAGCCTCCAAGGGCAAAAGCATCGCCCCCATGAGAACTCCTAGTGCAGATGAAAAGAGAATTGGTCCATAGAGTGAGCCCAGGGAGCTTTCTGAAGTCTAAAGACCTGGGAGGTGGCGAGGGAACCAGCAAAGAATGGAAAAAGAGCAGGTGGTGAAGTTAGAGAAGTGAGAGAAAATAGTGTCCCAGAAACCAAATGAAGAAAATGCTCTAGAAAACAGGGAGCCACCATCTGTGTCAAATGCTGCTGCTGGTTAGACCATTTATGAATTTAACAATAAGAATGATGAAATATAGCCAAAACCGGTTTGGCTCAGTGGATAGAGCATTGGCCTGTGGACTGAAAGGTCCCAGGTTTGATTCCGGTCAAGGGCATGTACCTTGGTTGCGGCACATCCCCAGTAGGGTGTGTGCAGGAGGCAGCTGATTGATGTTTCTCTCTCATTGATGTTTCTGTCTGTCTCCCTCTTCTTTCCTCTCTGAAATCAATAAGAATATATTTTAGAAAAATTTGTATACATATTAATAATTTCTGAAAAACTATATTTTACTAGAAAATGTAAGCCTTGATGCCTAGCCCAAGGTATATAATAAATAGCTTACCATATAATATATGGTTTATGATAAGGAGGTATATGGTAAGTTATGTGTTACCAATAAGAGCTTGAGTGCTGATATTTGTGAGTTTAAATATTTATGAGTGGCTTCAGGACAATTCATAACAGTGTGACTCAGCCATCTGCATTCATTCTAAAATGCTTTCTTGAGTTGGAGGAAAGAGGCTGGGTTTGGATCTAACAAAATATGAATAGAAGGGAAAGGTTTGCCATCTGACATCTGTAGGGCATTCCTCTGTGTGTGGCAGTAGAAAAATAGCTCTAGACCTTACTATGACCTAGGTTAATCCCTGTCAGTAAAATGAATAACAGTCCCACAAAGATGTCTGTGTCTGAATCGCTGGAATTTGTGACTGTCACCTTACATGGCAAAAGAGGCTTTACACATGGGATTAGGTTAAAGAATTTGATCTGAGAAGCTTCCTCTAGAATAATCTGGGCCCAATATCATCACATGAGCCTTAAGTCTGGAGAACCTTACCAGACTGTGGTACTAAGCTATCCCTGGGGCCCCATGTCATCACATGGGTCAGAGTCAGAGAAAGTGCTATGATGACACAAAATTAGAGAAGGTGATAGAGTCATGGAAACAGATATTGGAAGAGACCGCCAGGAATGCAGGTGGTCTCTACATACATGCTGGAAAATAGAACCTCCAGGAGCAATGCAGTGTTGAGAAGACTTTGGTTTTAGCCCCATAAAACTCAATTTAGAATTCTGAGCTCCAAAAACTATACGTTAATAAATTTGTGTTGCTTTAAGCCACCAAGTTTGTGGGAATGTGTTACAGCAGCAATAGGAAAGTAGTTTATTACCAGAGTTCTCAACACTGGTTTCTATGGCCATCTCTTCTTATGTCACTGAATGACCATCCAGATTTTAAAGGAACGATGTCAACACCCTAATTAAAATCTTGCCACATTATTATTTGTAAAAGTAAAATGAAACTGATAATCCTTTCTTGGATATTGGGTAATATCTATGGGTGAAAAAAAGTGTCATTTTCAGGGATCTTACTAATAATATATTTAATCTTATTGCTAATTTTTGTGTAGTTTTAATTTCTCATGTGAATTTGAGAACCTATACCAGGAAATAATCTTCATCAGTGCTGAGCTATTTTCTCCCTAATCCAGAAATTGCCTTTGGGGTATGTTTTCTCATTGCTTTCCTTATCCCCTTTCAATTTTATATCCAAGTGAGAGTAAATGCAACAGTATACTTGTTTGTTTGATTAATATATTTTTTTATTGATTTCAGAGGGAGAGAGAGATAGAAACATCGATGATAAGAGAACCATCCTGGGATTTGAGCCTGCAGCCTGGGCATATGCCCTGACTGGAATCGAACCATGACCTTCTGGTTCATTGGTCAACACTCAATCACTGAGCCAAGGGGCTGGGCAGTGTAACAGTATGTTTAATCAACAATAGTTAACATGAAAACATGTCATTTTTCCCCCTTGGCAATGTGTTTTGGCTTTTTTATAGTTGTTTGAAACAATGAATGTAAACTAAAACTCTATAAATATGAGGAACAGGATCATCTTTCAGTCCAAATGTTTAGACCTGAGGAGAGAAAAAGAAAGCACTCTCAGATTTGGATATGTTGATACTTGTTTTTATAGTTGTCTGTGCAGCTGTCATTTTGATTTAAATCTGGGAAAATTTTGTTCAAATTGGACTTAATCTTGTAAACCTAAATCCGGTTTCTATTCCATTGTGAGTAATCCTATGCTCTTCATCGCATTGGTCCATTTCTGATTTCAGTCTCCAACTCTCAGGTAAAGTTGTTATCCATAAGAACACTCTGGGAGTCTTCAGTATGAAGATAAGCAGGAAACAGATTGTTTGACTGACTTTTCATATTTTATAAAATGTTTTGTTTTATATTTCTATGGTCTGCAGGCCATTAGAGTGAATGACAAAGTTTTGTTTTGGTTTTTTGAAGTTTGCAGACTTGACACCAGCCCAGAATTATATGTTGTACAACTTCTGATCCAAGGAAATGTCTTATTTTGGGGGGAAAAGTCACTAATACATCATTTACATTATATAATAGATTTTAAGACTATAAGGAATCAAGTTTAACTTGGTGACGACAGTCACTCACTTGCTCTTATTTAATAGGAGTCATTTCAGAATTATAGCATTCTTCTGTATTATCATTATTATCCTGTTTTACAATAAAAATAATCTAAACAGGAGAGCATTTCTTCATTGGAAATTCAGATGAAAGCTTCCTATTTCTTTAAACAAAGAGCATGTTTTTAAGGGAATTAGCACAATGAAATTGCTGATGAAACCACTTTCTCGATGTATTCTGTATGCTGTCTTTCTGATTGAGAACTTACCCTATATAATGAAAGGGTAATATACAAATTGACCATCACTCCAACACACATGATGGCAACCCCCATGTAGTCAAACATGGCCAGCAAGGGAGGGTAGTTGGGAGAGACCAGGCTTGCAGGGGAGGGCAGTTGGGGGCAGCCAGACCTGCAGGGGATGGCAATTAGGGGCAATCAAGCTGGCAGGGGAGCAATTAGGCATCGATTAGGCTGGCAGGGGAGTGGTTAAGGGATTGTCGGGCTGGCAGGCAGAAGCGGTTAGGGGTAATCAGGCAGGCAGGCAGGTGAGTGGTTGGGAGCCAGCAGTCCTGGATTGTGAGAGGGATGTCTGACTGTCCCACTGGCAGTCAGAAATCCCTTGATGAGTTCCAGATTAGAGCAGGTACAGGCTGGGCTGAGGGACACATCCACCACCACCGCCCATGCATGAATTTTATGCACCAGGCCTCTAGTTGCTTTATTAATGTCCAACTAGATTTAATGTCTTATCATCATAACTAGTATCAGTGTATATTATATAAGACAGTTGCTTGGAAATTCTAATTTGAAGTGACATTCAGTACAGAGAATTGGGATAAGAATATTGAGAGTAATACGCAAACAAAGCAAATTATAAATTATTTTGTCAATGCAAACTCCATTTTTAGCTTGCTTTGAGTTGGGAGGAGATTTGTCCAATAAAGCCACTGATACACTTCTGGCTAAGTTTTTATTTGTAGGTGGCTGTAAGCTTTACTGTTTCTAAGGAGATAAAGAAACTGTCTCCTTCTTCAATAGAATTTAATTCTTTCTTTGATTGAGTATCCTCTAAAAATTTTTTATTTTAGCTTGAAATTTATTCTTCCTGATGATTTTTTATGAAATCAAGTCTTCTAAAACAAAGAAAAAAAATATTCTTGCATCGCTCTAAGATGCAATACCATTAGGCAAAAATGGACATTGACTCTATATGAGAAGTCAGGACGCTTCATTCAGGATACATCAGCTTCCTTCTTCTTCTCTCACCCAGTGCATGTAATGGTATACACATGACTCAGTCTATGCCAGAGGAAAGGGGATGAGGGTAAAAGGGGTGCTAATATATGGTGGCAAGAGATTTGACTTTGGGTGGTGGGCACATGGTGCAATATACAGATCTTGTAACCTGAAACCTATATGTTCATGTTGACCAATATCACCCAATAAACTTTAATATATATATATATATATATATATATATATATATATATATATATATATACTATTGATTGCAGAGAGAAAGGGAGAGGGAGAGAGAGAAACATCAACAATGAGAGAGAATCATTGATCAGCTGCCTCCTTGGGGATTAATCCCAAAACCTGGGTAAGTGTCCTGAGCGGGAATCAAACCATAACCTCCTCATTCATAGGTTGATACTCAACCACGGGGCCACACCACCCAGGTCCCAATAAATTTATTAAACAAAAGAGGAAATGAAGCATCCATCATATATAAAAACTGCTGTTTGAAATTTTAACCCTGCTATTTTGGTTTCTATAAATGCTTGCTTGCTTAAATAATAAGGAAAATAAGACTACTCCCATTCCAGAGAAGCCATGGACTATACCCCAGACAGAGTTGTCAGTGCTGACACCAGTCCAGGCCTTGAGATATGGTCTCATGGTCCCTTCCCAGCACGTAGGCCTTCTTTATCAGAAAGCCCAGAAGTCTCATTCCAAATCTGGGAGACAAAAGAGCTAGGAAAAGTATAAATAGAAATGGTTTCATCCATGGAGGGGGGGGGGGGGGGGGCAGAATTTGAAAGACACATTTTTCTCTTGCCTGCGCTTAATAAAATGTAACTCCCTTTCTCTAAGCATGGCTTGTTTTTTTTTTCCGGTCTTCTGTAATAGAAGGAAAGAAAAGAAAACCAAGCCATGAATTATAGTACTGTAGTGGTTGGTGGTAATGAATTAGTGGGCACATCCCTCACAGCTACCTGCAAGCGAGAGGTGAAGACACAGTCCTGACTGCTGCCCAGCTTTCAGAGCTCCCCACAATCTGGCTTTAACCTGTGTTTCCATGCTGACTCTGTGCCATCCCCAGCCGGGAGCAGTGTCCAGTCTGATTCACTTTCAACTTAGCTCATGCCTGTGCTGCTGCCTCTTCCATCCTAATTGCCACTCACCACTGGTCTTTCAGCCAAAGTCTTAAGAGTCTACCTCAAAGCCCTCTTTCCACAGAGCATTTGCTAATGACAATACTATCTGCTTCCTCAGAGTTTTTATCAAGCACGATTAATTATAACACACTAACGAGATTATCTGAGATAGACTCTATTTTTACATAGGGATTGGCTTATTGTTGTTTTTTCATTCAGTGTCATACAAAGCACACTGCAGATGAAAATGATAAAAGTTCATTACAGTTTGAATGGATGGATGGATGTCAGCATTTTTCATCAGCAACTGAAAATATCTAAGGAAACAATGGTAGTATCTTGCCAGTTCCTTAGACAGATGGCATTTTTAATGGGGCTGTATGTGTTTAACATTTTAACTATTTTTCTCCCCAAAGGTCCTATTTTCAGTTGTAAAAAGAAAGGCAACAAGAAAATAGAATTTATCAAAAAATTTAAAAAGATGACAAGGGGGAAAATTATATGTTGATAGATAAGTGTAAGTACCTCTCTCTAACAGATCCGCTCTAAGAGAATGTCACTCTCCTGTAAATGTGTACATATGAACCACGTGGCTGAGTCCATTGTACCAAATGGAACTTTTCTTTGATCAGGGCCTATTTCAACAATAGAAACACTGAATTGCAAAGGAATGATTTCCTCTCTCTCTCTCTCTCTCTCTCTCTCTCTCTCTCTCTCTCTCTCTCTCTTTTTAATAAGAAGAACCTGTGATCTCTAAATTAGCACTTAAGGGGAAAGCAGAATGAGAAAGAGGTAGTCGCAACTCAGAAAAGCTCATAAATCACACATTATTTTGTTTTCTGGGTCAAACATAAATTAGAATAAAACCCTTTACATTAGTCATGGCTTTGTCCTGCAATTATAAAGTCATCATTCATTTGTATTAATTATGGACACTTATTATTATTCACAAAATTATTCTTTGTCAGAATATCTGGGCACAGAGTTAATTTTCAGTTTACCGTAGTTTACTTGTGAATAAAAACTGATAGAAAATTCCCATTATTTTTAAAATAGAAAAATGCCTTTGTGAAGTTTTCAGGGGGTCTTGAAATCTTAAGAATGTGACAGAATCCAACTCTGGCTAGAACACCAACTTTTAAGGAATCCCCTTTCTATTCTTATGAAATTGTAACCACTATAAACCTCCACTAAATGTCTTTTGGGTAAAAAGCAGTGTGTTATTTCCTTCAGTCTCCAATTTATTTGTGGCCTTCAAGTTACTTTTAGAACTTCAAATTGTGTCCTGACTGGAATCAGCAATTGAACCAAAGGAGAAATCTTTTTTAAAAATATATTTTATTGAATTTTTACAGAGAAGAAGGGAGAGGGAGAGAGAAACATCAACCAGCTGCCTCCTGCACACCCCTATTGGAGATGTGCCCTCAACCAATGCACATGGCCTTGACCTGAATCGAACCTGAGACCCTTAAGCCTGCAGGTTGACGCTCAATCCACTGAACCAAACCAGATAGGGCTATCTATAGGAGAAATCTTGAAGGAGATGTAGCCTCGCCAATTAGCAATTTTTGTCAACTTTAGACTCTTCGACTTAGAACATGAAAACTTTCTACTTGCTAAGGGATATCAGCCAAAGCTGGGGGTGCTTTTAGGTCTCCTTTCCTTTTCTTTTCTCCCTCGAAGCTTCCTTTTCACTTTCACAACTCTTGGCACCTTACACACAAAGCGAGGTAGCCACAAAGCAAGGTTACCTAGACACAAAGGAGCGAAGGCCATCTCCTGAACGTGCTCATGAGCAATTATCCTCTGTCGAAATGCTACCCACATGAAAGTGTTGCCATTCTCAAACTTGTTTGGCTCTTGAAGGCGTGCATGTATGCTGACAGTGATCTTGATGTGAATGTTAAAGAGGCTGACGCTAAGTACTGGTTTCAGTCCAGTCCCAGAAGTTGAAAACAAAAAGCATTTGAATGTGTACACACTCTTTGAGAGAGTTATTGCTTTGGACAATGAATACAAATATTGAGTAACTACTCTGGTAAGAATAGGAAAAAAAACCTCAGGAATGTTTTGGAACAAGGTAGCATGATAGAGAACTCTTAAATCTCAAAGGATAAAGGATAAAATCATTATTTGTTTTTTACTAATTGTGGACCAAAGTCCATTATTTATATTGATGACAGAAATGGAAGGGTAAATTCAAGCTCAACAAGCTCAGAGCACATCAGTACTTCATTTGGGAGATTTTTATTTGGTCGGTTATCTTGTAATTACAACTATAGAGTCATCATCCTGTGAAGTATTTAAAAAGACCTACAGTTAAGGGTTGTGCTAAACAATGTACATTTTAGACTTATTAAGCAAGAAGAGTCAATGCCATGTAGAAATTGCTAGTTATATGGTAATAAAACAATGTTGTGTTACATTATACCCAGCCATGAAGGCTGGCCAGAATATGAAGTATTACTGGATTACCATTGAGAAATTAGGGAAGTCATTTATCTACATCAGCAATTTTCATCCAGTGTGCTGCAAGAATTTTTAAAACATGCAATACCTGACTATTTAGTCAGGTGCACTGACCTCTTTTTCCTTAGATTATCTAATAAAAAAAATGACAACAGCCAACACAGTAGCCATCCAGTGTGAATGTCCTGTCTTAAACCCTAACTATACAAATTAGTATAATAGAGTTGTATCTTATTAGTCACATGGCATAATAAGGTTGCATTTGATTGGTTAATTCTTGGTACCAGAAATCCTTACATACAAGTATAGGTAGCTGCTTTTTTTAAAAGTCACTTTGGAGCAAAAAAGGTAGGTAAGCTTGGCTGGTGTCACTCAGTGGTTGAGCATTAACATATGAACCAGGAGCTCAGGGTGTGATTCCTGGTTAGGGCACATGCCCAGATTGCTAGTTTGATCCACAGTAAGGGGTGTGCGGGAGACAACTGATCAATGATTCTCTCTTCATTGATGTTTTTATCTTTCCCTTGCCCTTCATCTCTCTGAAATCTCTCTCTCAGGTTAATTCCTATCGTTATTTTTTGGTGTGTTGCAGAATTTTATTAATTAGTTTGTGTGTGCCACAAGATGAAAAAGGTTGAAAATTGCTGACTACATTAAATAGCGAGTGGGCAAGTAGCAAGTCATTGCTCATCTTGACTATAATTGAACCTTTACCAGATGCCAGGACAAAATGTTAGTTTTAATTCACTTAACCCAGTTTGCTAAAGAAAATCTAATCTTCTTCTAAGCAAAATGGAAAAATCATAACACATTTTACTGTAAATGACATATTTTGATCACCCAATTTAAGAGGTTATAGTAAGAGTTAATGATTCCCTGTTATTTAAGAAGCTTAAGCTTAATTCTAAATTAGCCCAAAACATTATTTTACTTTTACCACAACAGATTTATATAGTAGACAATGAGCAACATTTTTATTATAGCACTAGAGGCCTGGTTCACAGATTTGTGCACTGGTAGGGTCCCTCCATCTGGCCTGTGGGGACCAGGCCGAAACTGGCTCTCTGACATCCCCCTGAGGGGGTCCCAGATTGTGAGAGGGTGCACGATCAGGGTCAGGTAGGGAGGCAGGAGGTAGACTGGCCAGGAAGGGACTTCGGGAGGGCTCCACAGCATGTCTGGTCCATTTCATTCACTTCCAATCAACCAGACCCCAGGAGCAAGCTAACCTACTGGTTGGAGTGTCTGCCCCTGGTGGTAGTGCATGTCATAGCGGCCAAGTGAATGGTCGGATACTTAGCATAATAATCTTTTACTATGTAGGATTTACACTTAAACAAATATCAGTTCACATTATTAACTACTTGTGACCCAGATATAGCTTAGACAATTAATGTATGTTGATTTTTGGTAGTTTTGACCAATGTGCAGTATGCAGCTGTTTAACTATGAGCAACCAATGTCACACACACACACACACACACACACACACACACACACACACTTTCTGTATAATGAGGAAATTGAGCTCTATCTCTAAGGCCCCTTGCAATTCTTAAATATTGTGTGTCTGTGATGATTGGCTTGGTTACCTAGCTGTGGAATTGAAGGTTTGTGAAGAATCTTTAGAAAAGTGTGTGGAAAACAGAATGGTCCTTGCCAGGAAGTTAGCAGGACAGTAGACCTAGTTCTCATTCGAGAACTGAAGAAATTAATGAAAAATATACCAGGGAAGATTTTTATTCTTTTCTTGCTTATTCAAGACACATTCATTTAATGGCTAGAAAGATAGGTTCATATAAAGATATTCATTTAACTTGGTTCAAAATTTCAAGTAACACAATCTAATCATAACTAAATCCTGAAATACACCAAATGAAAAATAATTTGTTATCCAGGAAGTAAAGTGATCTGTGCCCAGAAGATATGATATATAAAACAGGAAGGTGTGGAGATTCCTCTTACTTTTCCCCCATCCCTGCACATGACTGACCAAGGATCAAACCCACAACCCTGGTGTGTGCCCTGACCAGGAATTGAGCCCAAGACCTTTCAGTGCATGGATGACGCTCTAACCAAATGAGCCACACTGCCCAAGACTAACATTTATAGGAAATGTTAGAACCATAAGGATAGTTAAGTTTGCTGGGGCTGGGGAACAAGCGTTGGGAGGAAATGGGGAGTAACTGCTGATGACGCATACAGGGTTTCTTTTGGAGATGAAGAAAATATTCTAAAACTGATTGTGGTGGTGGTTGCCTAACTCTGAATCTAGCCCCCAAAATTGAAGTACACATTTTAAGTGGGTGAATTGTATGATAAATGAATTCTATCTCAATAAAGCTGTGTTTAAAAAATAGTAATAATAGCCGAAACCGGTTTGGCTCAGTGGTACAGCGTCGGTCTGCGAACTGAAGGGTCCTGGGTTCGATTCCGGTCAAGGGCATGTACCTTGGAGGCAACTGGTCGATGTTTCTCTCTCATCGACGTTTCTAGCTCTCTGTCTCTCTCCCTTTCTCTCTGTAAAAAATCAATAAAATATTTTTTAAAAATAGTAATAATAACAATGTACTTCACAGTTACACAATGACCATGGGATTCAGAAGGAGGGCTTAAGGAATTTTTATATGCTTATAAAATAACACATAAAGTACAACATTTCCCCCCATCCCTTAAAGTTTACCATAGGAGAACAGGGAGATCTAAGGATTACATAATCTCTAGCCTGGGTTCCTTGGCCATAATATTATGAAATGCTTTACTTACATTATGGATGGTTAGGAGGATTAAATTATAATGCTTTTAAGCACTATTTCTACCCATAGGAATCACTCCCTAAAACAATACTGTGATTATTGTCACTTATAATTACCTTTATAATTTTAAAAAGAGTATAGACTAGTTGATATTACTATTGCCTACATTAACTTGATAGAATTATGTTTTTCTTTAGTGAGTCTTGTTTTATGAGTGTAATGAGGATAGTGATTCTGACTCTAAAACTAATTTTATGCTGTACACTTGCCAAGTTCAAAAAAAGTAAAGTGATAAATATGTTTATGGCCTAAAGTAATTTCTTCTTGAAATGTTCAATAGTTAAGTTTCCTTAAAATTGTTCAAATTTTTCACTTCTGTTTGAGCTATAGAAACAGTCTCTTTCTGGAGGAAGAAAATGATCATATGTAAAACCTAAGTATCTTATTCTTTAGTTATTAATGTGTTAACTGGAAAAGTACAAGTGTTCATTTACTTAGTATTTGCTGAACAAGCATGTACACAATTATTTTCCCTGTCAGAAAGTGTGATATGACAAGAGCATGATCATTCAACAAATATTTAATAAGCACTCCTGCGTACCAGGTCTTATGTTTCCAAGAGAAGTGTTAGCAAACCTCAGTGGAAGTGATTTATACCACCCTTATTTATGGGTTGACTCCTGGGATTACTTGCTTTATTTGAATTGGGAGTGTTTCTTGTGTAAATAGTTTGATACCTCATGAGTCAGCAATATTTGTCATCAGTTAGGGGGAAGAATATGAAGCATTTTACAAATTATGCTCTTCGGATTAATGCATTTTGCTATTTTGTGTTATGTCTTGTAAATTACTTTTCAACCTTTTTTTTTTTTAATCTAATTGAGTGGGGAGTGTCCATTTTAAGGGAAATCTTGGTTTTTACAGATGTCTGCTCAGATGGTTAAATTATTTACCAGGCCTCTAAATAATTACTAGGGGTCCAGCATACACCTTCATGCACCTTGGAACTGTGGGCCATGAGGCTGCAGTAGGCACAGAGGCGGGTCTTGGCTCATTCTTTACACCCACACCTGATCCCTACTGCTGCGACCTCAGTCTCCTGTCTGCTGGCAACCCCACTTCCGCCACCAGTGCTCCCACTCATTGATGGATGGTGTCAGCCCTGCTCACACCCACTGAAGGCACAGAGCAATTGGGGCTGGCGCCAGCAGCAGGTGTAAGCAGGGCCAGTGACATCAGTGGGTGAGAGCTGCAGCTGCTGCCCTGATTGCCCCTCAGGAGCAGGGGGAGGTGGAGAAGCCTTCAGGGGTGATCAGGATTGGCAGCTGCTACTTGCACCCACTGATGGTGCCAAGCGATCGGGACCTGTGCCGGGCACTGGCTCCCAGTGCAAGCTGTGGCTCTGGCATTGGCTGTGAGTTCAAGCAGGACCAGCGCTGGCAGAGGGTGCAAGCAGCAGCTCTGGTACTGCTGATTCTGATCTTCTTTCAGGATCAGAGGGAGGTGGAGAAGCCCTGAGGGGCTATTGGGGGTGGCAGCTGCCATTCTCACCTGATGATGGCACCGAGCAATCAGAGTCATCAGGGCTGGGGCCAGGATCCAGCAGTGGGTGCAAGCACCACATATGATCATGGCATGGGGGAACAAAGTATTTTCAGTAACCACTAGAAGCTTGCCCCAATGACAGCAACTGGTGCTCTGCCTTAGTCTGACACCTCTGCTCACCTGCTCCAGCATCCCTCCATAGCCCATGCCTGTCATATTCTGCCCCTGCCCCTGGTGGTCAGAGCACATCATAGCAACCGGTTATTCTGTTGTTCCGCCATTCTGTCTATTTGCATATTAGCCTTTTATTATACAGGCTAATCTATAGGAACATTTGTTCTTTTTGGCATCATCAGTACTATTGTACATTTATCCTTGGCACAGTCATAGCCAGCAGGACCTGGAGATGGCCATCTGAAATGTCATGGTTTTTTTCAAATTGATGAGAGAGAGCAAGAGCAAGAGAGAAAGAGAAAGAGATAAAAACATTGAGCATAACCTGCAACTTTTAGTTATTCGAAGACATTCCAACCAATGGAGACACCCGGCCAGGTTTCTTTTTGATACTTCTTAGCCATTTCCAATTAAGAGTCCCATCTAAGCCCTAACGGGTTTGGTTCAGTGGATCGAGCATTGGCCTGTGTACTGAAGGACTTCAGGTTCGACTCCAGTCAAGGGCATGTACAATACCTTGGTTGTGGGCATATCCCCAGTGTATGGGGGGGGGGGGGGGGGGGGGGGGGGGGGGCGCGCAGGGGTGCAGGAGACAGCTGATCAATGTTTCTCTCTCTGTTGATGTTTCTAACTCTATTGATATATTCTCCTCTCTTCCCTCTCTGTAAAATATCAATAAACTGTATATTTTTTTAAAAGTCCCACCTAAGCCTGATTACCAAAAAGAGAATAATGAGCCCCAATGTTCTATCAGTTCTTTTCTTATTCTTATTTTTTCTCTCCATCTTTAATATTGTTTTGGTTCTGTTGTTTCCTGGGAGTTTTGATTGTTATGTCTCTCAAGTCACTTTTAGTTTAGAACAGTCCTAGATTTT